CCCAATATTTTAGACCTAGTTGCACCAATGTTACCTGCTACTTGCCAGAGAACCGTAGGATCTCGAATTTTGCTTTTGGACTTATAGTCTAGTCAAAAATAGTTAATTTTAATTCTAAGCTTACCACATATTATAAGTATATAACCTACAAACTACAAATGCTATTAAAAGCGCGATAAAATAGAGGAATGCCTGACTGGATATTGCGTAAAGATAGCAGAATAGAAACTTCATTAGGCTATAACTTCAAAATCAATTTCGATTGACAAATTTTGAATGTAGGTACAGTAAAACCTCTCTGTATAACGGATCCTCTATTAAACGGAATCCTCCTTATAACGGAAAACGTCAATAGTCCCAGTGTAAATAACAAATGCAATTTTTACCTTTCTGACGGAAAACTCTTTATAACGGAAAAATGTTTGGTCCTATGCGATTCCGTTATTGAAAGGTTTCACTGTGCTAGTTATTAAATCGTAAAAAAAAAAAAAAAAATCAAGTTATTTGTAATAAACGCATTAAATAGAATGACGACATACGAATGCGTAATAATCGAACCAAATCTGACCGCTTAATTCTGACTTCACCATTGTTTTTCCTGTACCCAACTAACCTTACATAAGTTTAAGACAAAAATTGCAAAGAAAAGAGTGTCGGGTAGRTCAAGTATAAAAATGTTCCTCTGAAAATGTAAAAGCAATAGAACACACGTGGAAAAGTGGAAAATCATAACTTGCGGGGGTCGGTTGTCATGGATATACAGGTTATGTTGGTTTATTACCTTTATAAAATTTGATGTGATCCTTAAAAGACGATTAGGTTTGGTGTATCATTTTGTTTTTTTTCTTACACTTCGACTTTGAACGATCAGAAAAAATAAATAAAATTAACATTATGTGCAATACGAACGCTAAGAATTATATTACTTCCTACAGAGCGGGTCATAAATTGATACCCAAAGTGCCGTTTGAAAGCAATGTAAGAGTGACTGAATTGTAAATTTGTAAATTTTATAATATTTCACAAAATAGTCATAAATTCTCATCGGTCGGATAGAATGCTTGTGCAGTAATGTTACAAAAGCAACTTTTGATTTATTTTAATCCATTTTGGTTACTGTACAATAATATTAATGTACWCACTATTAATATTTGCCCGATTATATTTTAAAAGGGGAAATAAATCATATTTTTTTTACAAGGTATCATCACTGGACGCCGGATTTGGATCGATGCCTAATAACCCAGAGTTGAAGCAATGGAATTATGATACTTCGACAAAAGTCCATTATGGTTTTAAAATTAATACCATGGACCCTATGCACAGATCTATGAAATTATATGCTGACCAAATTCATTACATCATGCCTCAATTGGAAAAAGTAGAAATAAAATGCCATCAATTATTTTTTATGTTTGAAAATATACAATAATTTTTATCACAGTATTGGTCAAATCCTCCAAAATCAATGATCGTACCACCAACCGAGTACAATGATAGATATATACAACCAAAGCTGATGTCAAACATCAAACAGATACCTGCAACAATGAATTGTGTAAGACCAATAATTAAATAATTTATTAAGAAATTAATGTCAGTTTGCAATTGCATTCAAACGTTTAATTAATTCAATAGTGAGGCAATGTCCATGATTAAACATGATTTAATAATCCATGGTTAGTTCATCAAAATCTAGTGAACCATTAAATGTATCAGCTTTTTGTAAAGCAACTTGACATTATAATTTAAGTGTTATTGAAAAACAGGTTCAGCCAACTCCAGTTGCTCCCAAACACCTTGGAACAGTACAAACACTAAAAGTTAGTGAAGCTGGAGCAGTTAGAAAAGTAGACCCGTACGTTAGTACTCAAAAGTTAGATTACATTGAAATAAATCCAGTAAGTAAAAAGTTCTATTGATTTTATTTGCATTTATACATTTAATAAAATACATTAGGATATAGCAAAACAAATTAACTCTAAACATTCAAAATTACAAAACATTAAGACAATGTACAAGCCGTTTTACAATGAACCAATATTCAATCGAAAGAATACTATACGTTTATTACCAAACACTTTAAAATATGTTCCACACAAGTAAATTACATTTGTAAATTGTATTTTAAATTAAATTTATGTTATAAATTATGTWTTATTTTTTCAGTTGCCTCATATCTGAAATGAGAGCATCGTTTAAAAAACCATCTCATACATCAACATTTGTTGATACTGGTGTAGAAATGCCCTTATCTATTTCAAGGAATCCAACTTTGTCTCAAATATTGGCTGTACCTGGGATGTACACAACGGAATACTCAATAATTGGTGGAAATTAATAATACACAAATTTATTACACAATACTATAAAAATATAAATTTACAGTACTCAGACTTGTTTATTTCAGTCCAAATATTGTTTTAATATTTGTTGTAGTAGAGTCATATCATAGTAATCAGCAATTGCTTTGAATGTTTTTAGATATAACATCATATCATTTCTGGGTATTACTGTTGTGAAATTACCAGCACATGAACAATAAGCATTTAGATTTTCCATTTTTATCTGTAAAACAATAGCTTTGTAATAACAATTCACTAAGACAAAACAAATAAATTTATTACTAWATACATACTTCTGAGCATTTTGTACATTGCAGATCTTGTAGGGTATATGCCATTACTTTTCTACCAAGTGCATCGATCAAAAAATGTTCAATCAGCRTGTTATCATAACTACTATTACAATTGGGACAAAGCCATGTTTTTCTGAAAATATTGTTTAAGTACATATTTTATTTTTATAACGTTTGATTTGATACATGATTGGTATTAATTGTGAACAGTAAACATACTTTCCATCAATTACACTTCGATGAGAATCTTTACACAAATCTATGTCACGGCAATGATTACAACTTTTACAGATTACTTCAGGTAATGTCCAAGAGAGACATGGGTCTGTCCAATCAGCTTCATCACTAAAATTACCAACAGAGATTAAGCGTAATAGATTTTTTCTCAGCTTCATAATATCATCTTCAATTCCAAAATCCAATGAAAGTACCTAAAATATATTTGACATACAAATTAAATTGAATCAAACACTTTTTGGAGAAAATAACTTACTTTGCAAACAGTTTTCACAAATTGCAGAGCTGGATTAAAATGTTTTCCTTTATTTTGCAAAAATGGTGAAAGTGTTTCTTGGAGTTCTACATCCAACACTGGATATTTTTTATAAATTTTTTGWGTAATCCTGTTTAAAACTTCATATTAAAATTATTGTTGAATTAAATAGGACAATATAATTTTATAAATGCATTTTATTTACGAAAATAATCTTGTTGTAAGTTCATCTGCAATCACGGTTTTTGCATATTCTGCTATACTTTCACATGATGCAACACCTAACATATTACTTTGGGTGACTTGTGATAATGATTCTGAAATACGTTTCAGTGTCATAGAATCAATTGATCGCATGTGCTTATAAATTGCACTCATGTAAACAGCAATTGTTTCTTCAAAATGTTTACGAGCATGACAAACATTGGGTAAAAATTCAGATATATTCCAATTCATTTCAATTCCCACCTAAAAATGTATAATAAAAGTACATACATATTATTTAAATTTTTCAGTACAATTCAAAATTACTTCTTCAATATCAGGTCCAGGTGCTTTGTGTTCTTTGAGAAGATGTTCAACGTCTTCATTAGACATATCAATTATATCTCCCATTGCTTCTTTTAATTTATCAGAAAACTTAGCTTTTACTCCAGAATAATTCCACTGTTCAAAATGTTAAAAGAAATTTTTAAGTATTAACGGTATCATTAACAAGAGTTATAACGATTAGTTTTACCAAATCTAGCCACATCAAATATTCCCAACATGGTCCTAATGATATTTGTAAGCTGTGAAACAATTCTTTGTTAGTAATGTTTTGTACAACATAACGTACATAAAAAATTGCATCCTCAAGTGATTTTTTTTTGGTACATATTACTATTTTATTAAAGTTGGCAAATATTATAGTAGAACCAAGCCGTTTAAATTCTGCAATCAACTAAAGGAATTACATATAATAAAATGGTTCGTATTAGTCATAGTCAAATAATAGTCATATTATGTAATAAAAATCTATTTATAGCATTTTACATCAATACAGTACTCACTTGCATAAAAAGTTTTCTCATCAAGCTGTAAAGTGTTTTGCGTAAAGCAGGATCATACAATAATGCATTTGGTGATCTAAGCCACCTGAAAAATAATTTATGAATAATAATTAATTATATTAAGGCTCAAGTAGTTGTTTAGTAACTGTTATAATGGTTTGACACATTAAATTATGTTAATATTACCTGTAAAAATGTACCATTTGAAAATCAGCGAATGGATTTTTGTGCAGTACAACATCGCGAAACCAAACATTCACCATTGATCGCAAAACACGAAATGCAGCTGAACACAATGCTATTTCATCGTAGGTAGGTGTTACAAATGTTCCACCATCCATTATTTCTTCAAGAGAAGCTTGAGGTATTTGATCAAATGCAACACCAGCACTTGTACCTAAATTATATATTTATATATGTTAATAAGGTTAAAATTATAATGAGTCATTAGTTAATGATTTCAAAYAAATAAATCAAAGTTAATGGATCTGTATACTAGAGTAGACGTCTCCTTCAGGAATCAAATGGTATACATACAAAGAATATAAATAATTTGTTAAATAAATATTATATACCTTCAAAATCATGAATATGATGCGACTGTAACAATGTTGTTACAGGTAAGGCATCAATTTCAAGTTCTATACAATAAGAAGTATAACAGCCTTCACTATTGACGAGCAAACTTGAACTTTCTTCTGAATCCATTAACATTCTATTAAAAAAATAATAATAATTGGCAACAAATAAAGAAATAACCTGACATTCCTATCATAGTTTAATTAGTAATTACTCATACTTCATACAAATTAGATTACCTATTGTCGTCTGTTTCACGACCACCTAAATCAGGTTTATCAGTTTCTGAAATCCATAACACAAAATTGTGTTTCATCAAATGTCTAGCAAAGAAAATATCTGATGCAAACAATGTCACATCTGCTGGTAAGTTTCCAAGAGGTATCTGTAGGTATCTGCATTGCTCCAACATAATATTTATGTTTTCTGGACTATTCAAATAGTGATTAACAATCAAGCTGCACCCTAAACGTTGCCATTCCATTTGAGCATACATAGAGGCAGTAGAGTCTTGTACGTGAAGAGTTACCACTGGGAATTCAGTCATTATTGGAATATTGGATAGCAATACTTGACTGTCTACATGTTTATACAAGATAAATGATTTAGAAATTACATATTACAGTGGTATTTATACCCTACCTATTGGGGACTGAATCACCAACATCGTAGGTCCTCGTTTTTCATCCCTATAAGATTGAAGAGTTCTCTGTATTTGTCTGTAAACTTGCCTTTCTTCTGTTTCCACTCTAACTTCAAAAATGACATCAGATGGAGGAATATTTGATTCGTTGTGCCCACGAGAAATTCTTAAGATATAACATAGGTAAAGCAAAACAGTTAATTTAAAAGAAATCTTAAGCTAATTACTTATCAACATTACTTGGCATTACGTTCTTTACTATACAAAGTGTTTAAATTTGCCATGCGATTTGAACGAACTGTATCCGTGACCCAAACAAATGCTTTTTTACTAGGTGTTAAAAATAATGCATACATGGCTCGTAAACCCGTTGGGGCTTTATTGCAGTACAAGAATATATCTTTTATAGAACTCTATAAATAAATTTATCAATATATATTATAGTTGTTAATTGTTGGATTCAACTTATGATTAAAGAAAAAAATATACAAACATTAGTTAAATATTTATGAGACACTTGTTTCATTTGTTCTAATGAAAAATGTCCAAGATCTGGCAATGCAGCCATTTTTTTTGCTGCTTCCAAAGTGACAGAACACATACATCCAAGGTTTAATAAAGCCCTTAATTCGGGTGTAACTTTAGTTTCATATATTCCTTCAACGCCCGGTTTAGATAGGTTGCACATAAAATGACTGAACAGATATTGAGTTAAAAATAATTTTATGACTCAAACATGGAATTCACTTACTCTTTGGTTTCACCAAAATCTTTTTCTAAAACTGTGTACTGGTACAAATTCAAAACTGGTCTGGCCCTGGGTAATATCATATTCACTTTAGTACAAGATATATGCTTTTCATTAACATCAATCTCAGTTTGCCTCTGATTTACATAAAAATATCTAGGTACATTCATTCGAATATTGTGCAACTCATCTCCAATCATCGCCCATARTTTTAAGACACCAGGTTCACCAGACTGACACACCTGTATAATTTGCCAGGGTTGACTCAGAAGTGTTTGCTGTGCTCGTTTTAAAAATCCTCCTAGTGTACCAGCACGTCCTTTAGGAACATGTATTTGATCGTCCCGCGTACGCTTTCCATGTTTACCAATTATTTTAGCTCTCATTTCAAGTTGCCAGTTCCATTTTTTTTTTTGATATACAATCCAATTCTAAAATAATTATACCAAACTATAAATTAATGATAATCACTATACATTCTATATATTCCTAATTTGTCAACTTGTTAAACAAAGAAAATATTTAAATAATACAAAGCTATTTTAAAATATTATTATAGTAAAATATTTTAGAATTTTTTTTAAATTGTATGCAAACCTGAATATCACTAGCTGGAGGAGGCGGTCCTAAAGCTTCCTTCCAGTTTCTAGCATCAATCGGGGAAGGGTCACGCTTACGCTTTTTGGTTACAATTGGTCTTGGTCTAATTTCTACATGATTATTATATTTGTTATCTCCATAATCTTCAATATCTTGAGGTACATCATTTTCAGTCAAATTTTTTTCTGCATGCTCTGGAATTGCTTGAAACATAGTCGTAATTTTTCTTTGCTTTAATGGATCAGCTTTCATCAACATTTTTTTATGTAACCAATCAGGATGTTTGACTCTTGGGACTGGATTAGCAATCTAAAATGAATTTRAGAATAGTTATGATTACTTATATATTTATTTTTATTTTTTAAAGCAAAAAAAAATTACACACTCCTTGCAAAGTGGCTGGAATAGTAATAATTTTCTGAATGGTGCCACTTAAACGTTCTATATAGTAGTCCCAATCAAGAACATCACGAATATCAATATCATCAATTGAATTGTCAGCAAGCCATCTTCTCAAATAATGTCTCTTCACACTTAACTCAGATTGAAATATAGCTAATGGTATAGCTCTTTGTGTAACTGGAGTACCTTCCGGTTTTTTAGATATTATAAATCGACAAGCAAGTCCTTTGTCTTTCACCATTTGATCACCTAAAAATTCAGCTAAACGCTTAGCTGTTGATATAGAAGTTGATTTTTGAGYCCCATAGTCTTCAAGTTTGCGGCTCATAGAACGATTTTCCGATATTAATTCAAACAATTCAGAATCTGGCATGTTTTTACCCTGTAACAAAATATTTTTTATTTAGTTAAGATTTTAGATATAAATTATTTTATGCTTACTTTAGAAAATAAAACATCTAGCCAATAATCAGCAACAGTTGCAACACTTTCATAACATTTTTCTAATGTATCACCCTTTAAGAAGGCTTCAAACACTGATGATTGAAAAATCTTAATAATTTGAAGTTCTCCCCTTCTTTTGACTTCAAAACTATCAAAAGTTCAAGGCTCATTTAATTTACAATTTAAAACATTTATTTATTACAAACCCTTTTAATTCTGCTAGTGATTTATCTAAATTGAACACGGCATAGCGCTTTTTTAGTTTTTTCCCTTCTTCTTTAGAAGCTGGTAAGACCATTGCTAAATAAGGACCATCKACTTCAAAGAAAATGGAATTTTCACTTCTTTGTTCATAAATAAGATTTTTTGAATCAACTAAGTCATGATAGACATGATTGGTGAAATGTTCCTAAACAAAACTTGTGATTAATTTTTATTAATTAAGTAAAATTATTTATAAAATAATTTATCACACTAACTTTGACCATTGAGTTTAAAACTGCATTAGGAAAAGATACAGTAAATTTATTTTTTTTTTCATGTGTTGATTTGACATTATAATTTTCAGGAAATGTTGATGGAAGTACACACCATATACCATCAGTATCTAATTCTAGAGGCCGACCTATTCTTTCAATTATTTCACGAGCTTTTTTAATTATAGCAGCACCAGTACAACACACTATTCCAGCCATTTCCATGCTATGCCAACGTGCACTGTAAATGAAACAATAAGTTAAACATAAAAGTTTCTTCAATTAGGAGGACGCCACACCTGCATGTGTTGTCTTCGTCGTATAAGTGCATAGCATAGCAAATTTTACGCTCAGCAAATCTCATTTATCTCCTTCAATTTATAATTTAGAGTGAATTGACCTWTTATAAAAATYAAAGGYAASATTRTTAYYRARRGYWTCTCATAGGCTTTTTATTATATTTTAATTTTAAAGCGAGTAATGAGTATTTTAAAATTGTAAATTATTTTTATGTTTAAAAATACTCATAACTCGATTTAAAATTAAATTTCTGTGATCTGCTGAGCGTAAAATTTGCTATGCTACGCACTTGTACGACAGAGACAACACATACGGGTGTGGCGTCCTCTTAACTATTTTAATAAGATCAAATCTAATAGAACAACGATTTTGAAATGTACACATTAATATCTATTAAATTATAGTTGATAAAAATAATTGTTGACAACAATAATAAATAATACATTTTTATAAATATATATACATTAAAATTTTATTAGCTTTAAAGTCAGAGACTATGACAAAATATATAATATAAACCATTKWTTAAGATTTGATATTTTACTTTATATGTCACATTTAGGTATGAACTAAATTTCAACATACCAAGCCAAACATAAATTATTATTTAAAAAAAAAAACGAGGTGCACAGGATGATAAAAATAATCACTCCTTCAACAACCTTCAAAAGTGCTCTTTGCCCATTTCAAAATTGGAATCTTTTATAACTAAAATTTATTTATTGAAATAATTATTGTCTGTAGTACAATATTTTACCTATATTTCAATATTTGAAAATAAGCTTATTAAGATATCATGATATTCACAATATTACATTATACATTTTCAATTTTATGCTAAACTAAACTTTGCAAGAAACAATGCATCTAGATCAGCAGTTCTCAAACTGTGGAACGTGAAAGACTCCATGGTGGTACGCGAAAGGCCGCAAAGTGATAGGATGGACAATTAAAAACAAATTTTAGATTCTTGGCGTAGCAATGATTTTACAATGTTGTGTGTTTTTTTTTTAATATTCAGATAATAAAGGTTAGATTTCATGAAAAATACATCAATAAATAAGATATCGTATAGGTATGATCGTTGATATTGTCGATATTTTTAATCATCAGTGGTATGCGACTGATTGATAATATACTTAAGCGGTAAGCGAAAAAACAAGTTTGAGAACCGCTGATCTAGATTATATGCCTAACTCATCATACAATTTTTTGTAAAATTGTTTTATCGCAACATATTACTAAAATAATAACATTGAAAATGTGTAAGTATTTTGAATACAAATAATTGTAAGAGATCAGTTAAAAACACAACCATTTTAAATCTTAAAAGTACACATATTTTTATAAAGAACTATTTAAGCTAGATACTAAAATAAAAGTCATGTGTTATATTAATCAATCATTTTAAATACATAAAGATTAATTACCCTTTTCTCATGACATATCCATAAAATGAATTAAGAATACACTTGTGTGCTAACTGTAACGAATCATATAATATTTCACGGTTTTTAGCTGATTTGATTTCAACAGGATCACCAATTGTTATTGCTTCAGATATTTGTTTTTTAGCAACTTTACAAAGCCCTTTATATTCGTAACGTCTATCTCTGAACGCTCGTACTGTATCAACGTAAAAAGAATTTTCTTTTTGACAAATAGTTGTAGAACGTTCTTCAATTTTTGTTATGTGAGTTTTTCTATATACTTTGCGACAATATTCAGTCAGTCGTTTTTTTTCCCAGGCGGCTCTTTCGTCTCGCTTTAATTGGTGAAATGCTCTAGGAGGGTCATTTGGAAATTGACCTGGGAACTTCTCTGTTTCTAACTGCTGTTGGATACGTTGAAACTCGGTTCTTGAGGCAGGCACTAAAAATCAAATAAGTAAATTAATGATTTATTTTTAAACTGTTAAACAATAGATTATAACATACTAAGTTCTCCTCTCCATTGCCAGGTCATAGTTCTTTGGCATTTCGCACCTGGAATATTAAAATCACAAGCAGCACAAATTTCTTCATTAACCATAGCTGAAGGTTGTAATCGATTTGTAAGTATAATATTAGGGTACATAGCACCAACATCTAAATGATATATTAATGGTTTCAATAATGGATAAGGATCTGCTTTAAGGGCTTCTAATTTTTCAATGACATCTTTCAATATTTCATCTAAATTTGTTACACTATCCATAGGGACTTTTTCTTCTTCTTCAATTGCAAATCTAAGTATGTCAGATGCTTTCTCAATGAGCATATCAAAAGCTGAYGTATCTAGTCTAAATCTACAAGGTATGTCAGCACGAAATACACCAGATTCCAAAGCTTCCACGTGGCCTCCAACATAAGTCTCTTGATCTAATACATGGCCATCATCACTAAGTTTATTTAGTTCTTGTTCTTGTTTATTTGGAAAGATAATGTTTGCGTGAAATGCTTCTACCATCAAAAGACTTTCACATAGTGTTCCAGAACCTTTTCTTAAAACCTAAAATGCACACATCATATATAAATACTAATAGTAAAGATTTTTATTTAAGGATATAATAATTGTATTGAATATTTGATTATTAGYTCAAAATAATAATAAACAATGTGCATTTTAAATAATTACTATATATGATTTAATTTAGCTAAATACTTTCTATTAATTATAGGTTTGATAGTTATTTATATCAATTTAAAGAACTATGAATTGTAATAACTTCTATAATAATCAATGCTATAACTTAAAAAAATAAAATAAAAACTGAATCTTTTGATATTAAATATAGTACAACCTCATTGATCTGAACTGCCGTTAAATACTATGTAAACTATACAGTTTGAGCTGCATTATTAAATATTAAAACGAGTTCTGTAAATTTCCATAAATGCATGTTATTGTGATTATTTTGATATCGAAAGATAATATTAGAATGTAGAGCTTCATACAGTAATACTATATTGCCTTGTATCTTGTATATTATAACACATACATATTCTTAAATCTATAATATACATGTTTTGTTTATTTTGTTCAGTTTAGGTTTTCATTAGTTCCGGCAACCTAGAGCCCTAATAAGACCAAACTAATGAGGTTCTTAAAAATAAGTATTAGTTTGCTAATTTAAGACCAATACACTTGTATTGGAATCATGCATATTGATTTAGGTAACTAAAAATAAAATCTAACACAGATAAATTATATAATAAAGTAATTAGTTTATACGTTGTAAAATATATGGCAATCTAGTAAGTTTAGTAGAAAACTCTTATTTTATTAATTATTTGGAAAATACAAAGCAATATTATTTCAAAAATTTTGATTAATTTCTTCACAATCTTTTAAACACAAATCAATATAATATTTTATTTAAATTGGAAAATTAAATATTATTCACCAATGTGAGAATAATATTTTTTTTTCATAAAATCATGGTGTTAAAAAAAAATAAGATTTAATTGAGTTAATACTTTGTCACTGAATAATTGATAGTTCAACAGTAAGATATAATATACATTTTAATCTAAGATCCCAACAATATTGTTTAAGCAAATCACCTCGAAAAATCTAAAAATTTAAAAATTTACTCTAGTAGATTTTGGATGTACTTTATCATCGGATAACCTAACCTAGTTATACAAATTAAAAATTCCATTCATTTCACTCACAAAATGATTTTCAAATAAGTGACTGCTAAAATTAAAAATTTCAACTTAAAGCGCAAAAAAAGTTGTGTACCTAGTACCTACCAATGTGTTTTTATATTTTTTTGACTTTCAATCTTCTATGGTTAATATTTTTTGAATAATAACAAAAGATAAAAAAATCCTAGTTAGAGGATAATTCATTATTAGTTATTAATTTTTTTTATACATTAAAATATTYAATATCTTCTAAATTTGATTTGCTCAAAACGCTCATAACAATGTATGCTATTTTAAGCTGAATCATTTTTTAATAATATTAATACTTCATTTTATTTGTTTATTTACTGAGTAAAATGTTATAACTTATTAAAAAATAATAACATACAAAATTAGGTGTTTTTGTACTTGAATATGTATGGTCATAAAAAGAACAAACATTTTAAGTCTTTATAATTATACATTTTTTTCACAGTTATCTTAGAATGAAATCATACAATACTCAAACAGTAGTTAGAMTTATCAAAATTCTAATAAACAATTTGAACTAGTTACTCTATTACTCTCTATTTGTATGTAGATATTACAGTATTCAGTTATTATTCACATTTTAGGTATAACAGTATAAAATAAATAAATTACCCAACATGAATTAAATATTAATCAATCTAAATTATGTTATGTGCCTATTACAAATATATTTGGGCCTAAAACCAGCAAAACAAAATGAAAATTTAAAAATATGTATATTATTATAAGTGGATAAAAAATGTGTATAAGTAACTGAAATACATTAGATCATTAACTAAAACTCAAATGTTACAGCACAAGACATGTGACATTTTGACATGTCATTAATATTATTTTATTTACCTTCAGAAGTTGTAATTGGGCAATGGGAAAATTTAATAACAACCATCAACATTTAATATATGCTCAAAAATTAAATTAATTTTCCTCTTATAATTATAATAATCCTGACCCTTGTTCAGTCATCACATTAATATAACTTGATGTGTTTTAATTATTTACAGTTATTGGGTATTTACTTAGAACACCTACACAATAATTATATAGAGTGAAATCATAATATAAAAGACCAACAACGACTGACAATAATCAGTTTACCACCTTTCTGCAAACCACATCTACACTTATTTAAACATTCATTCAAGGTATGTAGATTTTTAAATATTTAGTTATAGTGTAATAAGGATAGTACATCAGTTAGATRTTTAAAAATTGTATTTGTGTTATGAAATTTATATAAACTTTCAAATGTTTTAAACACATTTCTTTTTTTGTTTTAGTATCATTTTAAAGGAATACAATGAAAATAAGTCTATATTTGAGTTTACTTGTCTTGGCAATAGTCATAAAAATTGTAACAGCTGAGCTGAAACTACCACCTCAACAATATTGTGGTTCTAGATTGGCAGACATAATGCAAGTTGTATGTAAAAACAAGTATAATGGCCCACCAATTGGACAAAAAAGAAGTAAAATGGGTAAGTCTATAATTTTACATACTATATATCTCTAACTAACTTAAGAATAATAAGTAATTAGATTCAAAATAAAATTCTGAGTGAGGTTAAGTTCACTAAAGTCATTGTTGTAGATTTAAATTTAGTATTTATAGGTTACTATACCTATAAACACTAAATTTAAATATAAAATATATCAAAACAGATTCAAACATAATAATATCATTGTGGAAAAAACATCTAAATTCCATCATATTTAAGCTGTTTATAATAAAATTTAAAYTCAACTAAATTATATTATCTAATAAGTAGTAATTAACTTTTAAATGTATTTTAATTTATTGTGTTGAACATTAACATTTAAATTTTTTTTGTTTTAAATACTACTGTATTATTACTGAATACTGATACCATAAGAAAAAATAATAATAATAAAATTTTCAAAAAATATTAAGCATTGTTGTAAATTGTATTCAAATTCCTTGTTTAAATCAAATAATTTATGATTATTGATAACTATTTTCATCACTTATCTCCTTTAAAGTTTCATGTGACTAYATGATACATATGATACATTTAATGATTATATTCCGCGATAAAGTTTAAACAGAAAAAAAAAATTATCTTATTACTCCATTCAAAATCATCATACATTAATAAAATATTAAAATAATATGTAATTTAATATTTTATTAATAGATTCAGATGTATGGGATTACAAGGACTTAGAAGACTACAACGCTATTGAYTATCCATACCAATCTAGGCAAGAAGTTATGTCATATATGCCCACACGTATACTACGCACTTCTAAACGAACAATCATTGATGAATGCTGTCGCAGACCTTGCTTAATATCTGAGTTAAAAGGTTATTGTGCTAATCAAGACTAATAGATTTAGTCATAAGTGTTTTTAGTTGCTGAATAAAGTTCTAATTATTATTATATAAACGTAATATTTATTAAAATCCATACCTCATCGGGCTCCATAGGAATGATTGTGCATAAAGCAAATATGAAAGGATGAACATATTTCATATATAAATAATAAGTAGCAACAGCGTCTGACACTGAATAGTTAGAAAGTACTTGAGGTTCATCTGTAGCTAGTCGACACATGTCTTCTGGATCAAGCTCAACAGGATCATAACGTAATTTGGCTTTAGCAACAGCTTTTAGATTTTGTGATCCTACTGGAAGGTAAGAATCTCGTTTTACCCAACTGAAAAATTAAAATATTACATTAATTAAACATTTAATTATTCATAAAATAAAATTCACATTAGTCATTTATAATTTTTTTATAAATTAATTAAAAATATGCAGAACATTATGGTAGTTGTAGATCAATAAAAAATTTGACAATTATTTAAACTATTTTTTATCCAGTACTAAAATATTTAACATAGTAAAAAACTATGACTAAAAAAATGTATGACCTAATATGCTCTAACTTAGACATTTTTAAATACTTTTAATACATCAAAAAGTTGAATACAGTCAAACCTTAAATATATTTATCTTGAACTCAAATAAACATCAAAAAATGATAGTAAATAGTAAAAACTAAATAATAATAAATAAATATAAATTCTAAAGGAGAGTACTATTGCTATTTTTTTTAATTACTATTTTAAATGATAACAATATGTTTAAATATAGTACATRTTTTAATTTTTAGTAACAAAATTTGGATATTTATACATATTTTATATATATTTTTTTTTATTGAACCTTATAATTAGGAGTTGGACTTAAATGTTCTAAAAAACAAAAAATACAATGTCATGCGCTCATAACAGTGCCATATCTAGGGGGAGGGCTTTTGAACTTATTCCTCCCCCCCCCCCAAAAAAACAAATCCTGGGTATGGCACTGGCTCATAACAATTTTTTTTTAAATACACAAAAAAAAAGCTATTGAAAATATTTTTTTAAGGATCAATTCATATTWTTCTTAATTATTCTATGATTTTATTATTTGCTTCTTTCATCTTTTAACACTGAAAATTATATCAGTAAAAAACATAGTTATAAAAACAAAAGTATGATGAGGCAAAATAAATAATTTTTTTTTAGAAAGAATTTTAACAAAATGTTTATCTATTTTTACATTAAAATGACTTAAAAACATAAAAATGCACTAAAAATGTCAAAAAAAACTTCAAATCAATTTCTTGGTATATGAAATTAACTTTGTGTTTGGAAAACAATGTTTTCGGATATTCAAAGATAAATGCAATTTGCATTCAAATGYGTTCCCTACTTATAATCTTTTTTTAAGACATTAGGTATCTATGCTAAAAATTATTTGTATAAAACAAATATATAGTTGAAACCATACATATTTACATGATGTTAAGGTTAATATATTTCGTACCATAAACAATCCATATGCATAGCAGGACGACAACTATACACTCCAGCTGTATTTTTAGAAAATCCTATTTCTTGAGACATATTTAAATCATGAACTGCTGCTCGAGTTTCCACAAATGGCCAATCAAAAAAGTCACCGTTATATGTTACAATTATATGAGGGCGAATTTCCATTATGTGTTCAAAAAAACGATTTATCAAAGCAGCTTCATCAGGTTCGTTAAAAATAGTGAATAGACCTAAAATTTTCAGGCTTTAGAATACATAATATAATTATTTGTAGTCAAGTTATTGAATTACCTTCAAATTCTGGTTTTGGTGTGTACTCAAAATCAACAACATCTGCAGATATAATTTCTCGATTATTAATTAAATATCCTTGACCATCAATCATATATGAAATCATCATAATTTGATCAGTATTTGCATCTGGAAATTTAAGTGGAAGTTTTGTGGTTTCAATATCAAATGCCAAAACAATCATATCAGGWCGGTCTATAATATCATCACGTTTAATAAATGTTGCTTGATTATAGGGTCCACGACATTGAACTGTATACCACAATCCGGTGAATATCTTTAGATCTGTAGATACTCGGATATGATATACCACATCATACTCTCTAGAAAAAWTCTTAATATTTTATTATATTTTTAAATAAAAACAAATGCAAATAGCATAATCTATTGATACATTTTTTTAAATATTTTAACGATTTTAGAACTATTTATAAATATTTTAAATTGCCAACTTAATACAGGGTTCACTGTAAGAGCCTATGCATCTAAATACAAAATGATTTACCTGATATCAATTATATTTTCCATGTGATCAACTTGCTTCTTTGATGAGACTACTTCAGATAAATTAGCTAAAGATTCTGTCAACATTTCTGTGTAATAAGAATTATTTTTTAAAGCCAAACGATTTTTACGAACTGCTGGCATTATAGCTTGGCGCATTTTATTCATTTCAGTAACTGTTGCGAATGAAATTTTTATATATCTTTGTTGTAATCCTATCAGATGATTTGGCTAAAAATGTAATATCATAATTTAAATTAATTCGATAAAATTGTCAATAATAATAATATACTCATTTAGACAATCATTACCAAATCTAAGTCTTCTTTCATGACAATATCAATACTTGTAAAACTACCAGCAAATTTTTTACTTATGTAAGCAACAACTTCTTGAATATATTCTTTTTTAGCCAATAGATAGAAATATGGTTGAAATGGTTGTGTGACTCTAAATCGAGATCCATCGTCTTTAATAAAATAATAATCAACAGCAGCTACCAAACGTTTATCCTCATCAACAATTTCGGTCTACAAAAATTATGAGTAATTATTATCAAATAAGTAATAACCTGTAATTGCAACAGAATACTATGCTTTTAACGCAAATATTACTTACGCTATGCATATTGATGAGATAACCAGTATGCTCTTGGTAATCTTTAACACGGAAAAAACCATATTTGTTGTCAATTAAATCATTTTCTATAGATTGCTTCAACCGAACATCATTGGAATCTTCTTTAAATTGGCTTAATAAACATATTAAAAATAAAGGATTCAAAGTAAAATGTATATAATATGATACATGACTKTGTAAGATGTGCTGTAGGTACATACTTAAAAAATGACTTCTCTAATGGTTTAACAAAACGACCAGTATTTGCAGGAGCCATATTTGCATGTTAAAATCAAAATTTTTTTACTACAACAAGTAAAAGTATAATCATAAGCGAGAGACACATTAAAATTAAACTCAATAATAAATAATAAAACTGAATACTGAAAAAGTGAATATCTGAATAGTGAATAGTATAGTATTAGTATATATACTATATAGGTAATAAGACAATAATAATATTAAATTCAGTATGAATAGTATGATAATGCATTGAACAAATTGGCGGGAATTTTATTCATGGATGAAACATTATTTGATTTTCATTGATAACATTTTGATATTGCGCGGAAAAAAACCGAATATGAAACCACGATTTAAGGTATATCTAAAAGGTATACACAAACTCTAATTTAACATTTAGATTTAATGAAGTGTAATTTTAAAACTTGCTGTTGTCAAAACAACACCAATAAATGTCAGCTCACTCCTGTAATTAATTAATTTGACATTAGTGATAACACTGATAATGTGTCGGATAGGTGTAGTAAATTCGCAAAATTCAGAGGTTAAATCAACACCAAATAAATAGTTAACTCGCTATTAGACAAGTTTAGGATGATAGTAAATTAGTAACTACAAAAATTATTTCAACTAAAACAACGCTCAAGGATTATAAATTAACTCAGCTTTTGCGCGGCTACTGTAACATGTCTTAATGTTAAATTAACTCCAAAAATGGTTAATAATTAGGTACTCAAATTCGTAGTATATTTTGCATAAAAATTTAACCACAAGTCCACAACGTTGATATCAATTCAACAGCAAGACAGCCTTAGCTCAAAATCAAATGCGTATAACATTGACTATCATTATTGTTGTTAAAATAATTCCAAATATCTATGTGTGTGTACCAAATGTTCAAATATTATTATTATCATTTAATTATTACAATAGCTTATCCGCTATATATTGACTATTTTTAATTATTGACTATTACATATTATACTATAGTTAATTTTATAATGTGAAGTCGAATATTCAGTGAAAACTCTGTTAACTTCTCCCGGGGAAAATAACGTCAAAAATCTAGCCGCCGGACCGGGAATCGAACCCAGGTCTCTCGCTTGCCGGGCGATTGCTCTACCACTAAGCTACCCGACCGCATAGACCTAAGACGCTATTATCCCCAAGTTAACGGATGTTTACAACTCTAAATACCGGACACTCTCGGTCGCTTAAACGTCATCCGCTATTTGGAGGTGTCCGCTATTAAGAGGGAGTGCACATTTCACCGTTCCCAAAATTCCGTCCGTTATTTGGAGGTGTCCGCTATTGAGAGGTGTCCGTTAAAAGAGGTTTCACTGTATCGTGATTTTTCGTCTTGACAAGAGCAATAAACTCGTTTTTTTAATTAAAATTAAATAATACGTTTTTATGAAGTTATGATTATAATAATAGTCAGCTCTGTATTATTGGTTTTGACCACAAATTAAGATAGGTATAGTATAATGTCATAATTCATGGTTTTTATAATTTTACTATTTAAACATTTTAAACCCATAAAGGGAATAAGTTAATCAATAACTTTTAAATGCAAGATKCTAATGGAAAATMAATTTAATAATGKGAGTAGGTATTATTATATATATTCGGAAATCGGAGAATTCTCTAAGCAACAACTAAATATTAAATATCCATATACACATTATATAAGTAATAAGTATCTCATAAATAAATCTACTTGTTCATAATTTATTATTTGTTATACATGTTTATTAAAAATAATGAAACAACTCAACAATTATATGCATAATAAATTAATAACAAGGAATGCAAATAAACAAATGACAAGGACATTATTATTTTTTAAACTCGGGAGACGCTAAAAATKTTATGTTCTAGTGAAATCTRGCGCAT